CTCATTGATGTATTGTAGTTGTGAACAGAAGTAACATTACCATCTCACCCTGAATCTAAAAGTGTGTCAAAGTGACTAATGTTCAGATCAGTGAACAGACAAAGGCTGGAAATGTAAAAAATAGCTTTAATGGAATAACTTACGGAACTGTTGTTCCTTTTTTAGACGTTCTTTTGGTAATATGCTTGGGATATCGGTCGGAAATCTATCAGTCACTATGACACACTAAGACTGCAGCGAAGCCGCCATGAAAACAAAACACATTAGAATGCCTCAGGCGTAATCAGTGACCGCTTACCTTCACAATTTGATGTTGCACATTTACTTGTTTTGTTTATCTGTTCGACAAAATCAACTATTTGTGAAGACTCGCAGACAAACAGTCTTGGTTCAACGTCGACTGACACAACACACGARTCTCGTAGTTTTGGTTCATCGTCGGGTTTGAAATCTCGATCGGATTTGTCTGTATCAACATCACTTGAGCTCGATGGCGGGTTCAAAAGACAGTCTTCAAAACCTCTGTTTAATAACTCTCCTTGTACTGAGCCTTGGGTTCGATAAACTGTCTTACCAGGACTTCTATAGTGGAACTTTTTGTGTCCCGAATCATCTTGAACAACTTCTGTTTCCCAATTCACTGGAAGGACAAATTGCTGTCTAGAGCCGACTCCTTCACCTCTAGCGATAGAGCCACGTCTTCCTTTTTTCTTTCTTTGCTCAAAAAGCTCTCTCTTAGTTAGTTTTCTACGTTTTTTCGGCGGCATATTCACCAGTTCAGAAGTAATATCAGAGTATCATGAGGTGTTGGGTCACTGTTGTGTTACTGTTGTGTTACACAAAGAATGACGCATGCGCATTTTCAATGTTTTGGTTAACACCTAGCAACGGGACAAAAATCAATCGATATATTACAAAAAAATCGATAATTTGTTTCTGCAATCATATCGAGCAGCGGATATTGTTAAAAAATGGCGGAATGATGTATCCTGCAGCGCCTGAGGCAATTTATATAGCATTTTCACTATATAATTAGGGTTTTTTGCGTATTGCTGGCGTATTGCTGCCAGACAAATTCATTTTTCTTGGCAATGATTTAGAATTTTGACCTGAAATTTTCACAAATAGACGATGAGATGTTTGCAGAGAAGACTGTGCTTGGGTCACTCTATTGGATTCGTTCTTTGGGATTGCGGACTTTCGGAAAATCGTTAATTAATAACTTAGCGAATATTTAACCGATTACGTGCCCCAAGCACAGTTTTCTTCTTTTACTTGTAGGAATCGATATTTTGTAAAATATACAAGCACATGTTGTATACTTTCGGAGAAAAATGGGTTTAAAGTCAAATTTGTACATTTTGTTTAATCCAATTAACACCTCTACTTAAATTTTAACACCTCAAAATGTGAAAATTCGAAATAAGCAAATGTCAACCTTTCCATCAGTATGTTTGGTTCTATTTGGATTGTAAATCTTTCACTAGAAAATCCTTCCAAAATGACCCATTTTAGCCAGGGCAAGTACCTTAACAAATTAAGCTTACTGGGGGGAACAAATTGAAAAGTTCTGGGTAGTTTAGCTGCAGGATAATAAGATTAAATAAACAACTTCACTTCTGAAAATAAATGAGTGATATTATTATAGTGATAATGTTATAATATTATATGAGTGAGTTTACTAGTGATATTTTTAATACCGAGCTTTCGGCCTAAGCGTCC